GGGATAGTCATGCCGCAGCAAGCAGGACAGATGCAGCAGGCCCAGCAACAGCAGCAGCAGGCAGGTGCGATGAACCTCAATCTGAGTCTCGCCGCAGCGCAGATGAAAAACGGTGCACCCAACTTGCAACAGCTGCAAGCGCTTCAGCAGGCCCAGATGCTGCAGGCGCAACAGGCCCAGCAGGGCAACCTGTCGGCTGCTCAGCTCATGGCCATGAAGGCGGCTCTGGCGCAGAATGCGAATCTGCAGCTGCGTTTGCCTCCCAATCGGGCTCTGCAGATCGCACAGCAGGCTGCCCAGGCAGCTATGGGTGCGCAGCAGCAGCAACAACAACAGCAGCAACAGCAGCAGGCCCAGGGCGGCGGGAGCGCTTCCAACCAAGGCTCGCCCGCCATGTCGCGCGCTTCCACGGCAGGATCGCCTCGATTCGCAGCCAACGGCATCGCGGGCGGTATGGCTGGAAGCTCGCCCGTGCAGAACGGGACGTCTGCGACGACGAACGCAACCAACTCGCCGTCTCCGCAGATTTCGGCCGCCAACCGAGCCGCGATTGCCGCGGCGACGAACGCGGCAAATGCCAAGATGATGGGGCAGTCGCCGGTATCGTACCACGCGTCGCCTGTGCAGGCCAACCTGAGCCTGCAGGCGACGCAGCAGCAGCAGCTCAAGAACGCGGCTGCAGCCGCAGCGGCAGCCGCTGCTGCTGCGGGTGCCAACGGTGGAGCTGGGTCGCCGCCTCTTGCGACGCGGGCCTCGCCTCAGACGCAGCAAGGCTGAGGCCACGCTCCCACCACCACTTGTATCAACCACCTCTCTCACCAACCCCGTCCCCATGTCTTGTTCGCCTTCGTTTCTTCCGCGTTTGTATAAAATCTTCCATGTTTGGCAAAAGGTGCCGTCTTTTTTCTTTTCCGAGCATACACAAAATTGCGAACTTGACGCGAACATTGATGCGCAGCTGGGGATGTGTGTGCGTGGTGTGGTTCCTCAGCCTTAGCGAGGCCAGAGGATTCCAGGCGAATGCGGGTCGATACTACGCGGTTGAAGCACAAGCTTTGAGATGAAAGGGACTGACGTGACGCAAATCGATGGCATTGGGAGGAACGATTAAGAACAGTGGACGGAACAGAGGCATACGGAGTGGATTAGACCTTGTCGATTTCCTCGAGGGAGGAAGGACGCATACGGATCCACTTCATTCTTGGGCCGGTCTTTGCGTATTCCGAGACCTTGAAGCCGTAGATCTTGGGGGTGTAGATGCGCGAGTAGGGGATTCTTTTTCCGAGTTGGTCGGGTTGAATGGTCCTATGGGCGGTCTTGTTTTCGTCTGCCTCGGCTTCTTGCTCTTGGTACTGGAGTGTGGAAGCGTCGGTGTTGTTCTTGGGCGCAATGATGCTGGGGAACAGATCGCGGTAGCACTGGTAGAGCAGATGCGGGAATGTCGTACCGAAAAACGCGCCGTCCACTCCATGGAATCGCGAACTGGGTGGAGAGTAGTTGTCGATGCAGTTTGGGCAGAAGAGCTTGACCGTATCCAGACCGGGAAGATCCGATCGTCCACACGGAAGCACAGGGTGCGAATGACAGAAGACGCGGGGACAGTAGCCAAAGTGGCCAGCTTCGTATTTGTCCACCATCTGCTGCATGCCGTGTCGTGTAAGGATGTAGCGCTGGTGAATAAGCCCATACAGCAGTTCGGCGGAGGACTCGACGATCGACACGTCCGGAATCTTGAGCGAGTCCTCCTCGGGCGGTTCGACGTCAAGGATCATCTCGAGCGCCTCTTTGTAGAAGGGCACGAGCGCGTTGAGGCCCGTGAGGTTGAAGTCGTCTTCGATAAAATCCTCGCCTACTTCGGCAAAGTACTCGTGCCCGGGAAGAGAGCAGAACCAGGAAATCCACGTGAGCGACTCGGTCCCGCTCTCGGACGGAGACTCGGACTCTAGCACACGATCACAAAGTGCAAAGGGCAATCCAAGGTCAGCGATGAAAGCCACGGAGGAAGGAAGGCGGAATGAGACTTACCGTATTCGTCTTCGAATTCGCCAAACTTGACGTCCTCGTCTTCCTCCTCCTCGTCCTCCTCGATCGGCTTCGGGTAGGCGTACACCATGCCGGGCAGCGACGCGCCGTCCCTCTCGCGTGGATTCGAGGTCATGCTGTATGAAGAAGCCGGGCGGTGGTACCAGCTGTGTGCGAGTGGTTGTCGGTCGTTGGTCCTTCAAGCTGCCAGTGTGCGGGTGCGGTGCAGCTGGGTATAGTGGACGCAAGGGTTTCGACTTGCGTGTCGGGTGTTGGTGGTGGGCACTTGTTCGTAATGCGTGCGTGCAAGCGGTTGCTGTCGGCGGAAAGATCAGCGGCGGGTACGTAGGTGCGAGCTGGTGGTGGAAAGGAGCGACGAGGGATGCGGTCGTGATTGCGGGGATGCCAAGGCGCGGATGCCGATGAGAGTGTGGTGTCGACGAGACGTGCAAAAGCAATCCCACGGCTGCATCTGAACAATTTGCGACGACAGAGTCCGACTGCGCTTTGACAGCGACCAGCTCCCACGCCGATTTTTTCGCGCGAAACTGTTAGGTTTTGCTGAGCCCTGTCGCACAGTCAGCCCGGCCTCAACGCCACGCTACAACACTCACATGGACCGGCAAGATTCCGACCTCACTGCTGGCGACGGCAAAGGACAGCTCAAGCCCCCCCGCGAACAACAGGAGCAGACAGCCTCGAGAGAGACAGTGGGGAGATGGTACAAAGCCTTTGGCTGTATGTGCTTATATACATGGAAGGGAGAGCGCTGCAGCAACTGCTGAGAATTACGAGTGATGCCCGAGCGGCACCATCTGCCGCTGACGAAGACTATACCGGGAGCAATGGGATGCAATTACTCGTCCTTCTTGCCCGAGCCGGCACGCTCGGCCTCCTTGATGGCAGCCTTGTCGGTCTGAGGACCGGCCTGACCGGCGGCACCGAAAAGACCAGGGGGAGCCTTGAAGGGGCGCTTGAGATCGCCGGTGGCGGGCTGGCCCCAGACCCAGAGCTTGGCCATGTTGGACTCGAGCGCGTTCTTGAGCGGGAGGATGGACTGGATGACGAGCGGGTTGGTGTAGCCGAGGTAGAGGTGCATGAAGCCGACCATGGCGCAGCCCATGAGGATGCCGCGCGTGGCCTTGGAGATCTCGGCGAGGTCGTAGTCGCGGTTGGTGGTGGTGACGAGCTCGCCGGGCTCCTGCGACATGGGGTTCTTGGCGTTGACGTACTTGATGACGGTGAGGTCGTTGGCCTTCTTGACGCGGATCGAGCAGTAGTAGTACACGGCGAGGCAGAGGAGCTGCACGGCGACGTAGCCGGCACGCGCGTAGGTGATGTACTCGGGCTTGTCGTCAAAGGGGATGCGCTTGGCGACCTGCATGGCGCCAAACATGAAGGCCTACGGTGAACCCAATCCGAGGAGGGAGCACAGCGTCAGCAGCAGTCGACGGCATGCGCAGGTGCCCACAGGGCGGTGAAGGAGAAGGTGCTTACCATGTTTCCGATAGCTCCGCTCATGATGGACGATGTTGCTGCACTCGGGTGAGTGGACGAAGAGGGAGTGTGGGAGGTGGTGTTGGAGGGAAGAAGGAAAAGGGTCCGGCAGGGATGGAGGCGTGTGTGTGCGGAGAAGATCTAGGCTGGAAGAAGCCAGAGGGCGGTGAGCTGAGCCGGACCGCCACACCCCACCGGCATGGGCAGGGCACGGGCACTCGTGATTGGGGCTCGCCCGAATTAATCGCGGATGGCTGGACGATTGCGTGGCTGCTGCTGGGCGTGGCTGCCGAGGCCGCGCGGTGGATGGTTCGCCGTTTGCGGAAGTGGAATGGCCGAGCCCAGCAGACGTGGAACGCGACTCGCCACACCGCCGCCTTTTTCGACTTTTCGGCGCTGTCACCGCCCCAACTTGGTCGCCCGACTTCTTTCGCCTTCCGCCCGCCCTTGCCCTGACCCTCGCCCTGACCGTCGCCCTTTGGACCCTATTTCGCTGCCACCGTCGCCCTCTCTGAGGCCCCTTATGCCCAAGATGTTCAGACCAAGGCACGTCGACTGCCGTACAGTGGCAGACTCTTGCCCTAAGGTCTTCAAATAGTGAAAAACAAGGCTATAGAAAGGATCTTTGCCGAAACACTGACATCTGCGGCCATAGAACCTTGAAA